GCTAATTTAGCGTTTTTAGTAGAGACGGGGTTTCTCCATGTTGGTCAAGCTGTTCTTGAACTCCCGACCTCAGGTGATCCGCCTGCCTTGGCCTCCCAGAGTGCTGGGATTACAGGCATGAGCCACCGTGCCTGGCCAGCATCTAATGCTCTTATTCTCCTTGCTGATGCCCTTCTCTTCCAGTTCAGATGGCTTTGATCTCCTCTCTTGTAGGTGGTGGTAGTGGTGCAGTTAAGAAACGGCACATCATCCAATTAGGCGGACCCATAGGATGGATATGGGAAAGCAGTAACATCAGACAGGAAGATCAGATGGGAATAAAATTGTGGAGAGCTTTGGATGCAGTAGAGAGCCACAGAAAATTATGGGACAAGGGAGGGACATAGGATGAGAGCTGTAATTAAGGAAGAGTAATCTATTGGTAGCGTAGATCTTTGTGAAATATATTTGAACACACTTTGTAGGGCAACAATATCTAAATAAAGAAATCATATGATTAAGAAAAACAAACAATAAATTCATTTTCTGGACTTGAAGTCCCATATATGTGAACGAAGTACAAAGTAAGATTGTTTTACTCATGTGAAATTAGGAAGGCTAAAACGATGGAAGATAATTTTCTGTAAACCACGCTGATTTGAAAAACTTTAAGCTAGTGGGTTTGATCAAATTACATGGGATTCTTTCAAAACCAGTCTGCTCAATTTTACCTCTCAGTTTTCCTTCTCTACCACCGTCATCCGGGGAATAAGAAGGACTTGTCTTTAGTAGGCTTGAATCCTGTACACCACCTATGTAATGAATTTGTAGCAAATTAAGGGAGCTGATTTTTGAACACAAAATTTCCATTCCTAGTGTGTGAATGTTTTCAAGGTGCAGCTTCAGAAATATACAATACGGTTTGAATTCTGGGGAAGGAGTGTTCAACTTTGGGGTTGAAACTTTGGGCTTTAGGGGATAACAGATAAGTCTGAATTTTGAAGGAACTAAAACAAAGGGAACAGCGTGTACAAAGCAGGGTGGCCTTAGAATTGCAGCAGCATGAAGCTGAGAGTCGCGGCGACTTCAGCTTGAGAGGTATATACGGACGAAATCATGGAGGGATTGGTAAGTGGGTGAAGACAAGTGGGACAGACTTCTGTTTCTGGACTCACCCAGGTCAGAATCACTTGAGATGCTGTCAAAATTGAATAACTGAATACGGAGGTGGTATTCAGTTATTCCAAGCACCTGCTTTTCATTAAGCTTCTAAAGTGATTCTCATGCAAACTAAGGTTTAAGAGCTACTTCCATGCAAAAAACAAAACAAAACAAAAAACCCCCAAGCTTAAACAGGAACCAATAGGGGTGGGAGGGGTGGCGGGAAGAGCCGTTGAATTTCATGTGATTCAGTAAAAGAATTTCTCACTTGAGGCCTGCGGAGATTGTGTTTAAGAGCAAGGTCTCGAAGGACGGCTACGTTGCCTAGCCCTCCCCCATTGTCATCCTATGTAGTCCTCCAGGAAAATTGTGATTTTAGCAAAGTCTTTCATGACCCACTCCATCTTTCTCTAAAGTCCAGTACCGCTTCATTCGTATTGGAAAAAAAAAAAAACAACTTATATACACTTCTTAAAGTTACGTGTTTACAAAAGCTTGTTTCCTCCACTCCGTTTCTATTCTTCAAGTTCCTTAAAAGCTGCGCCATTTTTTGAGTGAAAAATGTGCTTAACTTCTGATATCAGCATAGAGAGGTGAGGGAGGGAGGGAATAAAATAAGAGGGAGGGAAGAAATAAAAAAGAATCTTGAAGTTATGAATTATTTGGGCATCAGTATTGAGGCTTATTTTTACTTAATGATGCTATATTTATGCAATAAAAACATTAGCCAATCTGTATTAATTCCTGGGAAAACGAACCTTTAGTCACTTTAAAAAGCACATCACTGACTTTGAAAATTAACTTCACCTTTTTCATTGGGGAACCCTTTAAAAATTTCCAACTTGCACAAGAACTTCCCTCCCTTATTCTTCATACTCAGTCATTCATTCTAAAGATGAGTAAAATTAGGTTGCAATATCCATGCTGCCTCCAGAGTACCTCTTTCACACAGTATTTTTAGAAAATTATTTCCTTGTTTGCTCTTCAGTACCTCCACTCCTTCCTCCTGTGACCCTCCTACCATATATACCCCTCCTACAAGACCAGGTCTCCAGTAATGAAACGAGTTTTCCAAGCAGTTACTTAATTAACGGCATTGAGTAGACAAGTGAGGTCCCGCCCCCTAGGAGGAGCTAACACCGCGGACCGAATCAGGCGGATGGTCGATAACAAATGAACCCTCAATCTTTTCAGAGGAGGAAACACACACAAAGGCCCAATCAGAGACCGCGGCTCCAGGAGTCCAGAGCGGGCGGGGCTGGACAAGCACCACCCACTTCCCAACCTCCCGCCGCGGCCGACAGAGCCTCGCGGGCTCCGACAGGTCCCG